TGCAAGAATCAGCTCTTGGATGCTTCCTTTCAATGTTTTCCACACCGCACTTTCAATGTTCATATTGTGAATTCTTTACTCTATGTTAGAAGTAATTTGAGTGCGTAACAACTATCTGGTTAGCTGTTAATACCAATACTGGGTTTAAAAACTTAATGCAAATCATTCCATTTTATTATGGCTGCCATCTTCTCCTTGTAACATCATCAGGTGGAATTGATCCTCACACGCACCTTGCTATGGAGTTTATGGGCACTGAAACTATTGACGACTTTTTCAGTGGTCAGGCAGCAGCATTAGCAGGTGGGACCACAATGCATATTGACTTTGTTATACCAGTAAATGGGAGTTTAATAGCAGGTTTAGAAAGCTACGAGGAAAAGGCAAAGAAATCATGCATGGATTATGGTTTTCATATGGCAATCACTAAGTTTGATGACAGTGTTTCAAGGGATATGGAAATTATGGTGAAGGAAAAAGGTTGGTATTTTTGTTCAAGGTCATCCATGGATCTTTTCAAGTATTTTTTTTTCAATTTATATCGGAGAAACTGAGAAACAGCAACCTCTGGCTATTTATTTATTTTTATTTAAAATCTACATGCATTTAAAACTTGCAGGTATCAATTCTTTTAAGTTTTTTCTAGCATACAAGGGGTCGCTTATGGTCAATGATGAGCTTCTATTAGAAGGACTGATGCGATGCAAGTCTCTTGGTGCATTGGCCATGGTCCATGCAGAAAATGGAGATGCTGTATTTGAAGGACAGAAAAGAATGATACAACTTGGTATTACTGGTCCAGAAGGACATGCTCTTTCAAGGCCCCCCTTGGTAATCCTTCAAATATGCTCTCCGTGTTGTAATGTGTGCCAACTAACTAAAAATTCTGTAATTGAGAAATGATCTATGTGCTTCACTCTAGAATTTGTGTGAACCCCTACCCACCCATATCATACAAATAATCTTCTAGTAGCCTGTAGACCAAATCTACTGTCCTTAAATTTGGTGAATTAGTTGTTCCAATTGTTTTTAGTCATTTTCCTTTCTTGTTCCTCTATGATGTGTTGATTTTTCCTGGGAGGATTTAGTGCTTAGGTTGATGACCAATATGTGAGAGAATGTGGCAGACTGCTTTTACCTTTTTTTGTTCACTCCCTGTCTAGTTAATCTTATGTGGTAAGAGATATGTACTGTTTTTTATGATGTTATTAATGTGATTATCACAGGATTTTTCAATCGTGTATTTGATCTGTAGAAACAGCCTGTGTCTGATCCTTTAAGAATGAATTCTTTAGCTAATAAGATTAGCTTAGCTCAGCAATTTTTTTACTTTTTTACTGATCTCTGATTGATAACCGTTCGTGCTAAGCAGATATTTATTTGTATTATACGGTATTCCATCTCCTTAAAGATTTTTTGAAATATACATCTTTCTTTTATAATTTAGCGTTTAGTTTGATTCTTGTGCAGCTGGAAGGAGAGGCAACTGCTCGAGCAATTCGTTTAGCTGGTTTTGTGAACACACCTCTCTATGTAGTTCATGTGATGAGCATTGATGCCATGGAAGAAATAGCCAAAGCTCGAAAATCAGGTTTAAAGTTTTTAATATTTCATTTTCTTGTTTGTTGAGGAAGTTTTACATGACCGCAGTAGTCAATTACAGTTCACACCATTGTGAATAGAGTCTAACAAACATATAAAATACTCTATTGCTTACAGGGCAGTACATACTACATAGCCGTGAGTTTATAAGAGAACAGGCATTTTCTGTAACAGAATGAAACAGTTAAATTCATTGCTGTCATCCCTTATATTTCATTTATTTTCTTTTACCTTTTCTCTTAAATTTAATATTATTAAGACAACCAGATTCAATAACACGCCAACATTGGTGTAAGATAATGGATAGTGTCTGAAACAAGTAAATCAAAAATTTGGCTGGAAAGAGTAGCGGACTATAGAGGATAGATAGTAATACTTCTGGAATACAAGCTGGACAAGTCATGTTTAATAAGGATGTTCAAGTAATAGAGAAGATAAAATAGTCCGCATGCCCAGTGAAATTGATCTAAAAAAACTGGAGTGGCTATAAATCTTTCACATGATTATTAAGTTAATTGATACCATGTGTGAGTATGAGAATAAGGATGATGTCCCGTTTGAACCATTTATATTTATTACCTGACTCCTCTATGTGCTTCTCGCAATTGTGCCAGGCACTGTTGCTAGTAATTTTGATGGCTGCTTGTTCCTACATGCAATTGATTTCTTACTGTAATCAGCCACTTTTGTTCCCATCTATAATCAAATTCTTACCCACCCCTTATTAACACCCACTTTTGTGTATCCTGGATTTCTGCATGATTTAGTTCCAAACTTGCACCAGCTTATTTCCCTAACTGCACTGCTTTATATCATCCCCTCTGCAACCTCTCGCTTTCTAAAGGCATCTCAAAACCTTTCCTTTGGGACTCTAAACAGGGTTGTAAAATGTATTTCAACTGCCAGATTCTCTTTAAGACATTAGGTACCTAACTTGTTCTGTTTATGACTTCCCTGGTGCTATGTCACTTTGATTTTATTTTTGTTCTCAAAACATGAAAGCCAGATCACTTTCTTGAAACTGCAGGACAGAGAGTTGTAGGTGAGCCAGTGGTTTCCGGATTGGTCCTTGATGATTCAGGACTTTGGGATTCTGACTTTGCCACTGCATCAAAGTAAGAGCCGGCACTCTGTCCATTATCACTATTATTATTGGATGGAGAGGGGAGGGAGGTGAACACATTTGATCAATTTGTCATATATATTGATTGCCAAGCATTACTATATTCTCATTTTTCAGGTTTGTCATGAGCCCCCCCATAAGAGCAGCAGGACATAACAAAGTCCTGCAAGGTGCCCTTTCAAATGGAGTTCTACAGGTTTCTCTCTTGTCATTATAAAGATTGACTGGAGTAATAGTTCATACCTTAAAGATACTTGAGAACATCTAATTTCTGTAAAGCTAATTTCAGTGACAAATTAATTTCATGTTCTGGAAAATGGGGACATGTAGTCTCTTAAAGTTTGTGATGGTGATTATAAGCTTCAGATGCAATATATAAATCTAGATTCACTGTTATTTTGAATCATCCAAGACTTATTAATCAATTTACTCATTTAAGAACAGTCTCATTATTTGTTTCTCATGCCACTCGTTACAATTTGCAGCTGGTAGGAACTGATCATTGTGTATTTAATTCCACACAAAAAGCCTTCGGGATTGATGATTTCCGTAAAATTCCTAATGGTGTCAATGGTAATAAAAATGTTATTGCTTAAGTCAAATATATTCCTCTTCTTATTATGTTGACTCAATTTTAGCAATTTTTTCTTTTTTCTAAATCTGGCAAATGGAAACATAGGTATTGAGGAGAGGATGCATTTGGTTTGGGATACGATGGTGGTAAGCTTCTGTGACTCTTTGCATAATCATTCCTACGTACTATATTAATTTAAATTGTTGTCCTCATATTGGTTGTCAACTAAAAGTTGAGCACTTTCAGGAATCTGGCCAAATTTCTATCAATGATTTTGTAAGGGTCACAAGCACTGAATGGTATGCTTTGACCGATATTCTCTGTTAGTTTAGTGTCTATTTGTGAATCATGTTATTCAGTCTCAGGGTTAATAATGATAAGTATACGTCATGTACAATCTGATGAATCACATGATTTAGCTTCACGAAGTGTGTAAAATCATTTTGATCCCTATGAATTTTCCAGTGCTAGGATCTTCAACATATATCCAAGAAAAGGAGCAATTATTGCTGGATCTGATGCTGATATAATTATACTCAACCCAAACTCAAGCTTTGAAATAAATGCCCGGTCTCACCACTCTAGAACAGATACAAATGTTTATGAGGGCAGAAGGGGGAAGGTAATTTTTTTCACTATAATTTAGTTCTCTTTTGTTTCGTTAACAAGTGGCATTCAAAGTACCTGTTTGTTAACGAGTATTTTCAGCATTTTTTCAGTTATATTTGTTCTATTCAAAATATTGCTTCTAGAGGGTGTCAAAACTATGTTAAAGATAAAAAATATTGTTGCTTGGGTTCAGGAATTCATTATGAAAGGTTATGTTTTTGTTGAGAGCCTGGAGTCACTAAAATACTCTACCTATTAAGCATTTTAGGAGAAACATAGCCATGTTGCAACCCTTGAGTTGCGATCCAGGATACCCTGATTTGTTACCACCAGGATTCATCCATACCTTGAAGCTATGCTCACAATTTTCATATTTTGTTAAAGGTCTTGTCCAATAATCTTTGGTAGAAATATCACCATTATATTGGCTGGGAAAATGAGATTAGAAACGAGAGAAATATGCTGGCACACAAGTGAGTATGCATCTGCTAGTTACCTGTGGTGTGTGAGTGCGCACTGGTGGACACTTTCACACTCACCAGCATCATGTGCATGTATTTTCATATTCATGTTTTTACCTAAACCCTTTCACTGCATGTTGGGTTTTGAAAGTTCATACCGTCTTTTCCTCAGGGAAAGGTTGAGGTGACGATTGCTGGAGGACGAGTTGTTTGGGAAAATAATGAACTGAAGGTTGTTCCTGGCTCTGGCAAGTACATAGAAATGCCCCCTTTCAGTTATCTTTTCAGCGGAATTGACAAGGCTGATGCTTCATACCTATCCTCCCTGAATGCTCCAGTAAAACGTTCTAAATCTACAACTTAAAGTCGCTGGTACTACCACTAGGATTCTTCCTTTCTATTATAGATTGCATGTAGGAGAATTATACACAATACCACAATGTACAAATTTGACAGCCAACTCCACAACGCTTCAATTCTAGACTATACTATGATAAACTTATTTACAAATTATGTAATACTAAATGATGGTAATGTTCAAATAATAAATGAACTGGACTGTACTATATTCTGAAATGTTCGTGAATGTCCATTAATTTAGACTATACTATGATAAACTTATTTACGAATTATGTAACACTAAATGATGGTAATGTTCAAATAATAAATGAACTGGACTATACTATATTCTGAAATGTCCGTGAATGTCCATTAATTTATGTCATATCACTGCTTTTAATTTAGTTGTAATCTGCTGGTATTCTATTTGCTTTCCGATATAAACAACATTTGCAAGCAGAAAGGCATGCATAGTAACCAAGGCTCACAGCAAAAGATTACAAGGTTTCGAATTCATGACACGTCTTGTCTATAGATTCACAAAATAGAAATTTATATTTTAATACTTGAGAATTACATGAGTTGATGAACCCTAGGTTTTTGTGAAATCAAGGCCTGGTACAGCAATGAATGTAGGTCAAGATCTTCTTTCTCTTCTGCACGGCAATACATATAGAGAAGAGAATTAGAAATCAGAACCTCGTTTGTTGTTATTTTTTAATAACCCCCCCACACCC